TTGTCTTTTTGGTCAGTTCTACCCCAAAAGACCTGTGATATTTTGCTCTTTTTCAGAGGGGTGACAGAGTCACCTTCCTGGCTTGCAAGCCTGACAAGACACTTCATGTCTCAGCCCCAGCACCGAGCTAATTGAATGACACAGAGGAAACTTCTTCCCCTCCTTGTTCCACAGTTTCTCAGTCCAGACTGTGGACTGCAGTAATTTCCTTCCTTGCTTTAAGATCTGCCAACTCAATATGCCAGCTAAGCCCTTGAAGGCAGCTTTTCGGGTAAATCCAAGCAGCTTCTAACTCTGCCTGAGCTTCTGAAGTTGGATGTAGAGGCCAGATTTCATTTTCCCCACCTTGGCTACTGACCGTGGAAGAGTAGTCTTAGAGTCCCTGGAGGCAAGGATGCATCTCCAGTGGATAAGATTAATATTTCTGGAGTTTCTGGAACCATGTATTTTCTCTCCCCACTTTGAATGAGAAGCTGGTGGTTGTTACATTCTCAAGTTAGGCACTTCATTAAGTGTCTGAAGTTGGTGCTGTCTGGGCTGTAGGGTCAGATCTGGGTTTTGTTTGTGCCAAAATAATGTGGAATGTCAGAGCTTGGCATTCTCCAATCCAGGTGTCCAAATTTCCCTGTTCGCAGGTCATTCATCCTCTTTCACAACAACTCATGTTCTCATATAACTCGTGTCCTCGTGTACCACATCCCTGCCCCTTTCTAAGCAGGGCTGCACATTTCAGTGGCACTGAATGCAATAGCATCTTCACTTGAGTAAACAGTCTGCTCTTTGGCAAACATGGCACGTCACTGACAAACATTTGGGAACCCAGATCTTTCCTGAACTAAACTGACTCCATGTTTTTCTAGGAAAATATATCATCCCAACAACGCGCAGCTGGGGATGGCCGTGATGCGGGCAGGAGTGACTCACTGGCATGCTGGTCTCATTGAAGCTGGGCATGGCTTGATCTGTAAAGCCTATGCCATTCTCCTGATAACCCATGGACCTTCCCACCCAATTACCAAAGACCTGGAGGTTGGTGTCCTCTGCTGTGTTGTCTCTGCTGTCTGTCTGGGCAAAATTACATGAAAGCTGTAGAAACAATCCATCCATAAGAGCTGAGAGATCGATCAAGTACTGACTGGTTCTTGCCAGTGCCATGGTCTTATCTAGATTATGTTACAGTCTGCTGGGAAATGCATGTCCCTTCCTATGGGAGATTTTCATCTCTGTAAAACAGCTTTTATCCTCCACCAGGGAATCCACTAAAAATGGCTACTGAGTCCCTGAATCTTCTTTGAAAGTGCTATGCCCAAGGATAGAGCCTCCCATTCTTCAAACAGCCTGATTTCGCTGCTCTTAGACGGGTGGCATTACAATTTTGCTATATCAAATTATGTATGGTGGATGTTCGCAGCTTACCAACTGATTTCTTTTATGGATGTCCATTCTTCTTTATTTACTACTCCCCTGTTCTTCTGAGCTGCAATACATTTTTTTGTCAGATGATTGATAGGTATATTTCCTAGCTTAGGGTCAAGAGCTGCAGATCCCAGGGAGTTATGTCTGCTCAGCTGTGATGAACTATTTACAATTGCAGCTGGGTATCTATAATTTCTTTAGCCTTTAACTCACCTGATGTGTCCGGTTGGCTTTACAACGTCCTCCTTTATTAGCCCAAAAAATTACACGATCCAAAATTAAATCCTTTATTGATGTCTTAGTCCCCGTTATGGCAGAGCTATAATCTTTATTAGTACAATTTTATATCATCAGAAAAATGAGTATCTAGTACCTAAAGCCAACCTGTTTGTTGACTGTTTCCCTATAGACAGCAGAGGGTGAGACCCCAGCACTCCATTTCTGTATTTCCTTTAGAAGGAAAATAGTGGATATACGGCACATGCTTATCTCTGTGCTCCTAAACCGAGGGTTGAATAAACTCACAGACAGGTGTAGAAAGATTTCCTAAAATCTCTTCTGAGCATCTGCCATAATGCAGCACTAGGAGTCACTCTGCTCATGGTGAATTCTGAGAAGCAGCTGTGATGCGGCTGAAGAGGGGCCAAGCATCCCTCCCCTCTTCCCCTGCCTCCTCCCACATGAGGTGACCCCCACCTCGGTGATGGGTCACATGAAGGGTCAGCGCAGGGTGTGAATGGGAAGCACACTCACTCCCCGGCTGTGCACAGCATCGCCTCCGGGTCCTGCATCAGGTTTGGGAGCGTGAGGCTTCCCAGCAGCCTGCAGAAGAGCTGAGTACAGGAAGGGCTGATGCCTTCTTCACCCTCACAGTACACAGATAAACAAGTTTGAGAAAGTAACTGGAGATCTGTTCCCAGTCAGCTTTGGTCCTGCTGGTGGGACACATAGATTAAAATGCATCAGTCATTACATGGCCTAGGACATCCCTGAAGGACGATCCTAATTTTTAGGCAGTGCTTTATTCACTTGCTTCAAGATCCCCTGCGTCGCAGGTTTTATAACCTGTTGTATCCCTCAGGTCATGCGTGTCCAGACGGAGATGGAGCTGCGCATGTTCCAGCAGAATGAGTTCATGTATTACAAGATGAGGGAAGCTGCTCTCAAAAACCAAAAGATTCAAGTCATGCCTGAACCCAGCAATGAGACCTCACCAGGACTCTTCCACAAGAAGGAATAAACTCTGAGCTGGAAACAAATTCATGCCTGTGGGAAAACATTGCCTGTGGCACCTCCAGACATGGGGAATGTGATATAGGAATGTGATGTATCCATAAGGATTATTTCCAGTAGCACCAGTCTGAGTGTGGACCCGCTGGGGATGAGTCCTGAAAAAGCTTCTGAGGGCTCAAACCAGAGGACATCTTGGCAGAAACAACATCCTTTTTCTACCACTAGAATTAAAAATCAAAGCAAAAAAAACCTGTTATAAAATGATTTACATTCTTATTGGAAGGCTGTTTGTCTCTACACAAGCCCTGATCCTGAAGTCCTTGGCTTAATTTTAATTGACTCTTTCCTAATGTTTTTTTTCCCATCACTTCCTTGTGATCATCATTTCTTTCCAATGATGGTCATGAATGGTTGACCAAGGGATGGTCAATGTGGAAAGCTGGTTCCAAAAAGTGTCATGTTTGCCTGTGGGCAGGGAGGGCAAATTGGATAAGACCAGCAGATGGTGTTTTGGTAGAGTAGTGTTTTTCTGATGAAAAATGATTCTGCAGCTGACAGAGGAGCAACATCAAACTGTAGGAACTTTGCAAGTGAGATTAAGTGGTGTTCCTACCTCAGGATAAATTAATTATGGTAAATTAGTCTCCTTAGTTAAAAATCAGAAGATGGCAGTAGTGATGGCAGTAGATGGATAGGAGATGATTCTGTGCCAGAAGCCAGTTGCACTGGTGTGGTGCACTGGCTGAGTGGATTGCTCTGACTGAATGAACAGTTTCCAAGGAGGGGGATCCACCTTTGCTCACCTGCAGGGTGAGCTGGGGGCTCTGATTCCTTTCAGGACCTACCTTTCAGCTTTGACAGATGCTTAATCAATTTTGCACTGAGCAAAAAAGGATAGTCCATGGATCAGCTACCAGTGGGCAGCCAGGGGAGCCAGTGATAAGTCTAAAGTTGGTTTTCTGTGTAAAAAAAAAATCTTTGCTCTTTGCCCATCTGTCTCAAAATCCAGATAGTTTGCTCCATATCTTCAGTGGCAGCCAAGAGATGAAAAGAGATGGTTTGTTCAAGAATCCTCTACCTGTTCCTCAGCAGAATAGCAGGGCAACAAACCCAGGGCTTTTTCTCTTTGATATTTCTCAGTGATTCGCTTATGTTTCTCCACATCTAAGATAAGTTCACTGGAGACCATCTGCTTTTTAGGAGCTATTGAGCTAGGCCTTTCCAGCTGTCCGTGAGGTGCCCATCTGATGCCAGTGTGACAATCCATATTGGTTCAGTTCCTAGCATGAGGATCAATGTCGACCTGTAACATGAAAACCTTCCCTGAAGAGACAGGAGTCATGAAAGAGATGCACATGAGGACAAATTGGTCCTTTAGTAGCACATATTGGGGTTGCAGGAGGAGGTGAGGAGGCACTGGTGGTGTTTTCGTGACATCCTGATCAGCTTTGAGTGGTTGTGAGAACATCATCCCAGGTAGGTGTATCACACCAGCAGTACACCCATTTCTCAGTGATGATTCCCAATCGTCATCCAAGCACAGGACTTGGAAAAGGTAGCTAAGAAGGAAGAGTTTCCTCTCCTGTGTCTGTCCAAAACCCACATCTCCATCCAGCCTGCAGTGCCAAGAGAAAGCATGGGAGATGCCTGTGGTGGTCCTTCCGTGTCTACAATGTAAGCAACTGGTGCCCATCTCCTGCCAGGAGAGAAAATCTGTATATCACCCTGGAAGGACAGTTCAATTCCAGCTCAGCTCAGTTTATCAGGCGTGGTTTGGAGCAAAACACACATTGGACACCTGCAGGCTGTCCAGGGCCCTCTTGCTGGTGGGGAGGGATGGGGAGGAGATGGGGATGGAGTGGCCAGAGCCTGTAGGGCTGGATCATTTTGCAGAGGTGTGAGGATGGGAATGGTGGTTGGGACACCCAAGCTGCCCCCATGCTGGTTTCTTCCCAAGGCAACTTTCCAGGCAGGATCATTGACATTTTTTTGAGCCCACCAAAAACTCCTCATCCTTTGGCCCTGCGAGTCACCTTGTGGTCACTTTGGCCATGTTTGTAAAGAAAGGGAGTAGCACCCTTTCCATGCCCAGTGCTCCTTCACCCACCCAGCCAGGGCAGCCATTTGTCATGACCCACCAGGACATCCCCAGCAGGATGCTGGCACCTGTCCACACAAAGTGGCTGGAGGAGTGCTTTTCAGCATGGAGCACATCTCAGAGGGTCACTCAATGACTCTGAACCTGTACCCTAGCCCGGCTCCATTCACTGACATCAGCACAGCCTTGGCTCAGCCTGTTGTCCAATTTCTACCTGGGCTTGTGTGAGCTTTGGAGGCTTGCATCTCTTTATAGCAACAGTGAAGAGGTTGATGACAATAATGAAGAGGCCTTTAATACAAATTTTACTTTAATGGACACATTTTACACAGTAAAATGTTTGGTGTGTGCAGGGTCTCTAGATTCTCTTGCTGACTCTCTTGTAGGTGAGGTCTCCCATGGTCATAGTCTGAAAAACAAATGCAAAGCATTAGCTTTTCATGGCACTTGGCTCCAGACTCTACTTGGAAAGGATCTGGTCTTGCAAATCAACACAGGACTGGTCCCCAGTCTATCTGCTATAAACTGAATTATTAAAGCTTTGGATTTCTTGATGACAGAAGGATCAACGCAGATAGGGATAATCTGGCATCCCTCAGCTGGGATCAATGTGCTGCACCTCTCTTCTTTAAAAGTGCCAGGCCCAGCCACAAACATATATATGGGTGGGTGAGAACATGCCCTCATTGCATGAAACTTTGATCAGAAATGTCTACTGGGCTCTCACAGAGTACTTTTTGGATCAGACTATACTGAAAAGCTGCCTTCAGTGCCTGGCCAACTGACCAGCTTTGGCTACAGAGCCTGAGTGCAAGCACATGCTCATCTCCGGCACTTCTTTAAGGTCCCCAGGATCTCTGTAGGCTTTGCAGTGCCAGAACCCTGAAGGCAGCTGTATGTACTGTTACTCCAGTCACTGCTCCTCTTTTCTGCACTTACATGGGTGATGGTGTCTCCGTTGAGTTCGGAGACAGATTTCAGCCCTTTCACGGTTCCAATCAGTCTGTTGTTACCTTCCATCTGAACAAGACCCTGGCAGAGATGGAAAGAGACAGAGGCATTCATGTTATTGCTGGAGACCATGTCAACCTCTGCATTTTGACCTTCCCCTTCTGTACTGAGTTGCCACTGTCCCCTCTGCAAGCTGTCTGGAGGAAGCTGCTCCCCCGGTGATTTTCTGGGAGGCTTTCTGGGAGGAGGAGAAACAGTTGTGCTGGTGGTGACTACAACACAGCAAGGATATGGTTGTTTACTTTGGGCTCTACAGGGGTGCGATTTTGTCACTGTACCTACCTCTCTGCCCTTCAAATTAAGACTCACTCATGGCTCCTGCACTGTTAGGTGGCAGAGCAGGGACCCTTGGCATCCCTTGGCATCACATCAACACATGAATTTTGGGATAGGACAAGGCAAACTCTTTACCCTGCCAATACTCGTGCCTTCATGCAGCCCTCATACTCGTCAAAGCAGCTCCTCATGCAGCACCCAGATCAAGAGGAGCTGCACACCCCCAAGGAGAGGACTGAAGAGCCATCTGAGCTGGGCCAGGGCATGCCGTGTTGTCTCCTCTCTACCACCCACCTATTGCACATTGCTGCAGCAACCTCCCTTGGAATACCCATTCCAAAGGTTGATGGGGAGCTGGGAGACAGTGTGGGGCTGGAGGGAGTCTCATTCAAGGTGGGAATCAAATTAAGGAGTTTTGGAAAAACAGCCATGGCTGGAAAGCTCTCTGGGGAGCAAGAACATCTGCTGAGTCTCTGCCCCTCCAGGCGCTGCACACACCTCCAGACATCACTGACACCCCCAGGGGCAGATATCACTGATCATTGAAATTACTCAAAGAAATAACCAAGCAAAACCGATTTCTGTTAATCTATCTGTCCAGCTGTAAGACATGTCCATCTGCCCTTGAGTTGCTGAATTTATGGAGGGCAAAACTCTTCTGACAGCCTTTTCCCCCTAGTTTATGCACAAGGGTCTTCAGTGATGCTGGAAGTTGTGATACAGCAGGTACACCTCTCAGAGCCTGATCCACTGGGTCATTTCTTTGGCGATTGTTCCTCCTGCTTTCAAAAGTCCCTGCAATATCGTCTTCTCCTGAGGTAGGGGTAAGAGGAAGTACTTGCTGGTGGAGCTGTCTTGACATTTTATGAACCATTGAAAACTAAAGTCCAGGAATGGAAGCTCACCCAATTTCAAGGGTGATAAATCCTCACCTTGCCAAATTATCTCACCCAGCATAGACAGAAGCAGTGTAAAAGGCTAGCAGAGAATCTAACCGTTGCTGGGACTTAAAAGGAGAGATAGATTGGTTTATAGTTCATTGACTGACTTTCCTGCATTACCTTTAAGTCAACAAAATGAATGTGGGGTATGTTTTGTGCTGCAGCATGACAGAAAGTCAACCCTTTTCCACCTCAAATCTTTCTGACCTTTTGCTGGTAGAAAAATTTCCCAAAGCATCTCTAGTCCCTCTTTCCAAATGGGCTATTAAACTACTGTCTTCCAGCGTTTTCTGTACGGGCTATTAAAATAGTTTTAGAAATGCAAGGCTTCATCTGGAGAAGTGCTTGTTGGGGAGCTTGTATGGTGTTTTGTGAAAGCAAAGAGGGAAGGTGGGAACTTCAGCGTCTCGGGATCTGAGTTTCTTAGGAAGATGGCTCAGAAAAGGACTGTCATTTTTGGAAATGTGTTCCTAAGAGCCTTGCTGAGGACCTGCAGGGAGCAGGGCAGCAGGAGTCACATCCGCAGACTTGGTTTCAGCAGCTAGCCCCTTCCCATTACGTTAAATCATACATGCAAATTGTGAGAAATGGAACCAGGCTGGGGGATTAGCCAGGTCTTTGTCCTGTGTCAGCTTTGACATCTGTGGTCTGGTCATTCCCTTTGGCTCAAGTGCAGGGAGGGGTGGCTATAAAGGAAATTTAATGTCCCTGAGCCCCCACAGCCCTGGCAGACGAGGAACTGATCTCTCACCTTGACTTTTTCTCCTGACAACATCTCCATCTCGCACTCCTCCCCAATGGTGAACTCGTTGTGCAGCACTTTGGAGCCAGTGGTCACGGTAATCTTGAACTTGTTCCCATCCTGCACAATTTCGGTGATGCTCTTCAAGTCCTTGCCCTTCTGGATCTTCTCATCGGGAAGCCCTGCCCGGGAACAAGAGATGTTAGGTGGACCTCGGAACTATCGGTGGGCAGAGTGCTGCTGCCGAGTGAACGCAGTGGGATTTGGGGACCCACAGCTGGGATGATTTTTATTCTAGTGTGGAGAAGCCTCGCAAGAATGACAGTTCCCCAAGGCCCACATGGCCCTGAGTCTGCTGGGGAGGAAGAATAACAAGTGCTGTCATTCTGGATTTGTGTGAGAACTAGACTTCTTCCTTGTCCCACCAACTTGGCTGGGAGCAGAACAGCTACCTCCCTGGCCAACCATCAAAGAGAAAGCAGAAACCCTGTCTTCATTCCTTCACTGAAAGGCAAGCAGAGAAAATGGAATAAAATGAGGCAGAAGCAGGGAACCAAGTGGATTTTTTATGAGATTCCGGGTCTCTTAGAACCAACTCACTAAACTCTTCTCCCAAAATCATGAGGAATAACTTCTTCACTCTGAGGGTGACGGACCACTGGAACAGGCTGCCCAGGGAGGTTGTGCAGTCTCCTTC